ATATATATATATATACATATATATATATATATATATATATATATATGTATACATATAAATATAGATAACTAGACTCGTTTCGAAAAACCCTCGAATTTTTGATTTGCTAATCAAATCAATCTCGAGGAAAAAAAGTTTTAAAAAAGAAAGAGCTACAAACATGAACTTCTGCCGACAAAAAAATCGCACAGATGCAGGTCTGAAGCCCAAAGAAAAAACCCGATCACGGTAACAACTAACTAACAAAAGAGCTCAATACAACCGTAGAAACAGACCTAGATACACCTAGTGAGCCAGACAAACCTACGAGGTTTCACCTAAACGGATCGTCAGGGAAACTTTCCCTGTCTGGCTCACTAGGTGTATCTATATATATGTATAAATAGACAAACCTAACGATTCCCTGACGATCAGCTTAGGTGAAACCTGCGTTGGTTTGTCTGGCTCACTAGGTTTGACTAGGTCTGCTCAACGGTTGTATTGAGCTCTTTCTAGTTAGTTGTTTACTCATGTCAGGGTTTTTTTCTTTGGGCTGTATCTGTGCAATTATTTTGACAAACTTTCATGTTTCTAGCTCTTTCTTTTTTTAAAACCTTTTTTCCTTCGAGATTGATTTGATTATTGGCAAATCAAAAATTGAAGAAAAATTTAAGTTATATATATATATATATATATATATATATATATATATACACCTCTACACACACATACATAAAAATTGTGTATTTGGGCAGTAATCCTGTGTTTGTATAATTGTTTGCTTTTCTGGACACAAAGTGTTTAAAAACTATCCAAAGTTATATTAGTTCTAAATATTATTTATGATTTCAAATGCTTCTTAAGGAACTGTGTTCCTGATCAAACCAAACTCATAAATAATTATATTGGTCATACCACTACATGCCTATCTAGATGACTCACATTACACCTATCTGATATAGTTCAATTAGGACTCATTTAAACACTTACGGAAATTTACCAAACTCCATCTACAACATACTTGTAGAAAATACAAGAATAATAACCTCATTCACATGTAAAAAATGATGAAAAATAATGGAAGCACTAATAATAAAAAAAGGAGAAGCCAACACTCAATAACATTAACTATAAACGCAGCTATAATGTGCTGACCATTTCTGGAAAATAAAACTTTCCTATCACTTTATATACAGACATTAAAAAAAAACACATATTCAGTTAAAAATAAAATAAAAAAATAAAAATCATCCTTGATAATGGCTAAAAGAATAGCTAAAAGTGCTCATATATGCAGAGCATTTGGACAATTTTATACACTTTATGTTCAGAAAAGAAAACACTTGTAGAAACTGAAGAAAAATTAAATAAAAGACTTAATCACAGTACCTTGTCAGTCATCTTTAACAAAACATATCTCTCTCTCTCTCTCTCTCTCTCTCTCTCTCTATATATATATATATATATATATATATATATATATATATATATAATCTTTGATGATGGCTTATGTAAGCTGAAAGCTTAAACAGGATCAACAATAAAAACATGTATCACCATAGTGATTTTCTTTTGTGTTTCAGTGATAATATTAAAAAGCTTATTTGACAATATGAAAGGAATTTACTTAAATTAAATAGACAAACTTGTCTATATTTTCTAATTAAACATGCATTAATATATATATATATATATATATATATATATATATATATATAAAAGCCAAGTAACTGGGATCTAAACCCTGGAAAAAAAAGCAAACAAGATCTTAATGCAAATGAGCATTAAGTTCTTGTCATTGTGGGTGAAAACAGATGACATGCATGTTTGAAAGAAAACACTTGATATACATATTTACAAAAGTTGCATGTGACAACTGCTTGTTCAGGCAGTGAAATAGATGTAAACTAACATAGTGAAGAGAACAGAGAAATGTATTAAGGTCTTACTTGTGAGATGGTGTGTTTGTACATGGTTTCAGTGACTTTGACTCAGCTATATGAGGTGAGGGAAGATGGAGGTCTAGAGATGCACATGTTGAACACTGACAGAAAGGCTCCATCTTAATGTTTATCCTTTAAAATTTGAAGCCATATTAATAACTGTATTAGAAACCACATAATGGCTGATTTGGTGCATTTCCATGAAAATTGATTTTAAGCAATATTAATAAGAAACCTCATGATGGCAGATTTAATTAATTTTTGTACATTTCCAGTGTGATGTGGATTCTTATATAATTTGGACAGTAGAATCACATGGTGTTTATTAAAATTAACTGAGCCATATCAATAACAATATTAGAAGCTTTATAATGGCAGATTTTGTGCATTTTGTCATATGGTGTCAATTAATATTTGATTACAAGATTTTGTAATGCTACATGTACCACAAAAACAAAACAAGTTTTTAAAAGAATTGCTACTTATGGTTAAAGATTTAGGAGATCACCTCAAACTGAAAAGCACATGGAAAATGTGAACACTGCTTGCACAAAGTAAACAGTTAAAATGGTTGATTCACAAGTAGTGAATAATGTAAAAGTACTAAAACAAACTTCACTGCAAGGAAAATTGAACATTTCTGTTTTCTTTTTGAATTTGTAGGTCTGATGAATTGGATCATATTTATGATTCCAATGGAATAAATTATGGCCATGGAATATTAGTGTTTAAGCCTTTTTATTATATATATATATATATATATATATATATATATATAT